GACTCGGGCACTGATCCTCGGCGAAGGTCAGCTTTCAGTTCTATTATTCTGGGTTCTTGCACCTCAATAATATGAACTCAACTGTATGAAGATTTTCAAGGTATTTCTTAGTAGTCGTCTATTGTCAGGTACCTTTGACCGACTGAGCCGAGCGTCCGCCGAGTCGGGCTCGCCAAGGGACGTACGTAGTAACAGTGAAGACCGCTGTTCACTACATTTGGGGGCTGTTCCGGGAATTTATCAAAACAATCGGGGTAACATTTCGAGCTTGCCGACAAGGGAAGACCCTGCCTTCCTTTTAGCCGAAAGGACCAACACACTTAAATGGGACAGGAGGGGGACATGCATCTACGCAGCGGGAAAGTGGTACTGCCTCCGCTTGAACCGATCGCCGAAATGCAGAATTTAGAAGAGTCGAACGACGATTCCGTGGATTACCCAATGGAAACGCCACGGACAGAACCCGATCGCGGCGTCAACCCGCCCACCGCGGGGGTGTCTCGATCGGCACCGAGAGTCTGGGACCGCGACGTTCGAGGGCGCAAGGGAACCGTAGATGATCACGACTGGGCGGATCCGGTTCTGCCCGAGTTCTTTCGGGAATTGGCCTCCCAGATGGCACGGGGGGTAGTACAGGCGTGCCAGAGGAACATCGGATACGAGGACGGCAAGAACATGAGGGACTTCCTTGATTTAGCGGAGCTAGATTTCATAGAAAGAGGGCTTGAAGAACGACTGTGGGGAGAAGAACTCAAAAGATATCTGAGGGGGGACGCCTTGAGATACTGGTTGTATCTGCGTCGCACTGGAGAATCTTTAACTGATTGGGAGCAACTGAGACAGCGATTCTGCGAGCATTTTTGTAGTATAACTCTGGAACGGATGAAAGCCATGCTAGCTAAGAATGTCTGGAGGGGCGACCACCGCTCATACTCGGCACGCTTCGCGGACATTGTGACTCAAGGGGTGTCGGTGGCTCCAGACCTGTTGGTGGGTTATTACCTGGCCAATCTGCCAAGTGAACTACTCCGAGAGGTGACCCAAGGGGGAACAAGGAAATTCGCAGACTGGCAGGCAGCCGCCGCAGCATTGGCTGCTACGGCGGCACCGTGGAAGGATATATGCGAAGACCACCAACGATTCCGACGAGACTTAGAGGATGCCTCACGCAGATGGGATAAAGGCGGGAGAGCACCAGACCAACTACGCGAACGAGAGACCAGGGACGACCGAAGGAATGACACTCCGGACTTACGCTGCTACGTGTGCAGCGGGAGGGGACATGTGAGCAGGGATTGTCCGCTCCGTAACGGAGCGGCGCGACGGATCGGGGAAATATGCTCCAGGTGTGGGGGCCGGGATCACTACGCAAGAGATTGTCCTACATCGGTTCGACCCAAAGCAGAGCCTATCCGGCCGCCCAGACAGCAGCCAACGCGGCCCGATGGTGACCAATCGGGGCCTTTAAACGGACGAGCCTAGCCGTTGAGGGAGACGAGCGGGCTAGGCGGACTAGGAGTGGGAACGGTGCGATGTGCGCGATAGCGACAGGGCCTAACTCCATTCCAGTCTCCCCGGATTGGGAGAAGAGGTTGCATATGGGGACTGAGCGGAAACGCACCGAAGGCCCGGATGTGGGGAAGAACTACGTCGCCTATCAAGGAATGGACTAGGCGTAGAATGGACCGCAGCGGCGAGCAGAACGACGCAGCTACAGGAGGGGACCGCCCGCAGGACGCGGACACGGAAGAACTACAATGGTGGCGCGAGCAGAAGGTGCAGGAAGATACCATGCCCCAGGGGACACTGTGTAGTGTGGGCGTGTGGCGGCACGATTCTCAGCTTCACCGGCCGTTGGTCACACTTCGAGATGACCTATGGCCGCGGAGCTCCTCGAAGTAATCGGGTCCCCGCCACCTTGCGAACGTCGACTCTTGTTGGAAGCTGCCTGAGGAACACGTATTCACCATAGCTAACGGTGCACAGTTGAGGATAGATCGAGTTGTGAAGGGGCTCACAATGTGGTGTGGGACGGCCCGCCTAGCTGGCGACTTCTTAGTCGGGCCGGTGCCGTATGACCTAGTGGTGGGGCTTGATTGGCTGACTACGCATAGGGTAGCCTGGTATTTTCAGTCTGATAAGCTACGTACGTATGTGGATGGCCAGTGGTGCGATCTACCAGTTGTTCGCGCCGCCGAGGCCACACAACGGAACGGCAGTACTCAAGGGACGCGTCAGCGAACCCCTGCAGAGCAGGCGTACGAG